TCGGTCCATGCATCCATGCAGAGATTTGGCAAGTGGATGACCGAGCAGTCGGCGCTCGGACCCCTTCATCGCAGTTTGCGTCAGGAGGCGATGGTCAAGCATGAGATGGAAGTTGGAGGCGATATCCTGTTTCAGCCTTTAGACTTGGTCGATCACAAAGCTCAGAAGTGGCGGCAGAAGTGGGCACCGTCTTTGACCACTGAAGCTGCTATTCAGGAGGCTTTCCGTCAGGGTCGCGAACGTGCTGAACTCGAGCCCCTGCCTCCCATCACTGGCGCCGACGTCAGAGAGGCGGCCAGGCGCATGACTGCCCGAGCGGGACAAGGGTGCGATCGCATGTCACCAACAGACTTTGAACGTCTGCCTCTGACGGCGCTGGACGAGCTGGCAGATCTGTACATGATGATCGAAGCTGAGCTCGTCTGGCCACGCCAGATTACGATTACCCTCGGTCGCCTTCTGCCGAAGAAAACAGAAGGCGACCGAATTATTGGTCTTCTTTCCATGTTCAGCAGATTATGGTCGCTCATCAGAGAGCCAGTAGTTCGACAGTGGTCGGACTCCTCGGCCCCTTACTGGGACGCTGCAGCGAAGGGCAACGCGGCCCTCCGCGAAGCCTTCGTTCGCACCCTGGAGGAGGAGGTCGGGCACCAACTTGGCGTGGACTCTGGAGCAGGTTTTTTAGACATCGACGGCTTCTACGACAATATCGTGTGGGAGCTGCTGATACCCAAAGGTTTGCAACTAGGTTTTCCAGCGGCAATCTTGTGCCTGGAGGTGCTGCAATGCATGGCGCCTCGAGCTCTTGGGCAGTGCACATCGTGGGCCCCCCCCATCGTGCCCACGAGGTCAGTGGTCCAGGGCCTTCGTTCAGGCACACGGTTTGGAAGGATCATGGTCTATTTCGTTCTTGACAGGATCTGTTCAGCCCATCTTCGAATGGGACACCGCATCTGGGTGGACGATCTGGCTCAGCGCGCAGTAGGCTCTCGCGACAGTGTACGGCAACAACTGGTCGCTAGTCTCCGCGACACGTGCAAGGGCCTTCGATCGATGAAGTTGCAGGTTGCATCCAAGTCAGTCGTGGTCTGTTCTCACCACCCAGATGCCCTTCAGGTTTGCCGTGCTTCACGGGTAGCAGGCTTCCAGGTGCGAGCGCAACGCACTGCAGGCTTCCTGGGCACGGACTTAGGAGGGGGTGGCCGTCATGCTCGAGCTACGAGACGCAAGAGAGCGGACACGCACCGGTTGATGAACACCAAGGCGCGCAAGTTTGCTCGAGCAGGGCGTCGATACGCCATCACCTCGAAGCTTGAGCGGCTTGGAGCTCAGGCTGCAGGGCTTTATGGACATCAGATACACGGCACTTTTGGAGCTTACTTGCGCCAGGCCCGACAACGGCTAGGTGCGGTGGTGGCGGCCCCGCCCAAAGGCCGCTGCCTCACCACAGTCTTAGCGCTACGAGCCCCACATGATCCAGCACTCAAACTGCCAGAGGAGATGCTACGTCAGTGGTTTCGTGTTTGGCAGGAGGAGCCTGGTCTTAGACGGGGCGTTTGCCGCGTGTGGAACCCCCTGGTGGAGAAGCTTCGGGCCATCTCACCAGGGCAGCGCACGCGGCACATACGAGGACCAGTTTCAGCAGTCATCACACTGTTGTTGAATAACGGATGGGACCCACGGTCGGCCACCGAATGGCTCAAGCCCGCAGCTGATTCCCAGGATGAATCCATTGAATGGTATTTCCCCGACTCAGCGTGGACAGGATGGTCGGATGCGGACGACCCAGGCCACCTCATTCGCGATGTGCAGAACCCCATTCGATCGTCACTGTGGGAGCAGGCATCTCAACACTTTTGTGGCGGTGGCATGGAAGGCGGCATCGACTGCACGTCCCTGCGACAGCTGCACTTGCAACTGCAGTCGGTCGATCGTGGAGCTCGGCTAGCAGAACTTCTGGTCACCATCGCAGCTGGAGGATACTGGACGCGGTCTCGCCGAGGGGACTTCCTCGCGACCAAGGGCAGGCCTTTTGATACGAAGTGCCCTCGGTGTGGGGAGGTTCCAGAGACACCTTTCCATCGCGCGTGGGGCTGCCGTCACAACGTGGAAGCGGCAGCCTACAAGTGTTCAGAGTGTTTGGTGGGGGAGGCCTACTCCAGCTGGGAATCCATGGAATGTTTCTGGCTTCGTGGGCTTCTTCCGTCTCATCTCGTTCATGTTTCGCCTCCTCCGCAGGAGGAGCACTGGCAGGCGGCAGGAGAGATTGTGTCGACGGGGGCTTTTGGGCACGGCACTCGGGAAGCCCCAATCTTTCTGTTTGGTGATGCCAGTGGAGGTGAATTATCAGGGCAGACAAGATATCGCCGCGTGGGCTTACCAGTTGTCTGTATCAGTTGTTTCGAGCCTCTCGAGATCGCTAGTTCGATGTCTGGTGCGCTTGCGGGGGGAAACGCAGTCGGTTTGTCATGGAGAACTTCGGGCCCTTCTCTTGGCAGCTGAGCACTCTTCAGGCCGAGTGGTGTATACCACAGATAACGAATACGTTGCGGAAGGTTGGGTCTCGAAACTTTATCGTGAGCCCTCGGGACCTGACTCCGATCTATGGCATCGAATAGGAGCTGTTTTCGATTCCTCCAGGGACCCAGCCTCGTTTGTGGTGTTGTTTTTCAACTCGCATCTGGAGGCCCGCGAAGCTTTGTCTGGGAGACTTCCTATGTGGATGATCTTGGGAAATGCTGCGGCGGATATCCTTGCAGGGTCAGCAGCCAGTCGTGCGCAGGTCAGTGCAGAGGAGAGAATTCGGGCCGAGCAGCGGGAGCAGAGGGTACATCTCGTTCGGCTACGCCTACTCCGTGCTACGCTCGACTCTCTAGCAGCAGAGAAACGTCTGGAGCCTCCTGGGAGGAAGAAACGTGAGCCACCTCCTCCCCCTCCTCCTGCCGTCTCTGCGGTTCAGACTTTCACCGCCTCTCATCAGTTAGACGAAACTGGTCGTAGGTGTCGTAGGTGCTGCAGCTCCGCTACCATAGCTAGGCAATCGGTTTGGAGGGAGACCCCTTGTTTTCACCTTGTCCACGTGCACGATGATTTTTTCAGGGTCCCGTCTGGAGTCAGGTTGCACTTAGCGGGGGGGTGGGCTGATCCTTCGCACCAACTCACTTTGCACGGCACTCTGAAGCTCTGGTTCTGTAGTCGGTGCGGGTGTTTTGCTAGTCAGATGTTGAAAGGTCTGGGGCAACCTTGTCTCAAGACCGCGAATTCCGCCAGGTCCGAGTATCTAACTCGTATCGCCGCTGGCCAGTGGCCGAAGGTCCAGAGCAAGGCCAAGCAGGCGGGGCGGGTTTCGTGATTCGTCGGATGTCGCTTTGCGATTGGAGTCACTCCTCCTCACTCCTCCTCCTCCTCCTCCTCCTCCTCCTCCTCCTCCTCCTCCTCCTCCTCCTCCTCCTCCTCCTCCTCCTCCTCCTCCTCCCCCTCATCATCATCATCATCAGCATCATCATCATCAGCATCATCATCATCATCAGCACCAGCAGCATCACCATCACCATCACAATCACCATCATCATCACCATCCTAATAATCATCCTCATCATCATCAGCATCATCATCAGCATCCTTCTTCTCCTCCTCCTCCTCCTTCTCCTCCTCCTCCTCCTCCTCCTCCTCCCCCTCCTCCTCCTCCTCCTCCTCCTCCTCTTACTTCCTCCTCCTCCTTCTCCTCCTCCTCCATGCCCGACGGTCGAAGGGCCCAGAGCTCCGCCGATGCGATTTTTGTGTACCAGCGGTGTCCTTGATGTCTACCCCTGGGGGGCCGCTTTCACGCCCCAAGGCCATCCAGAGTGGGTCTAGGGCGATTACCCTCGGCGAAGCGGTCGGGAGCTCCGGGTCCTGGAGGCCGTCGGTCGGTCGGTCGTTTTCTCTTTGTCGTCGTTCCCGTCCCTCCCCTTCTTCTTCACCAATTTCCCCCGCAACACCTTGTTTAAGCGAATGTCAAAGGTTGGAAAGGAACCGCCCTCCATCCGTGCAGCTGTACAATATGTTCACGCTCCTGGTTCCTAGGACGACAAGTCCCAAGCACAAGCACAATTTTCAGAAGAAGCCAGCCTTCACCCGTGCAGTTGTTGCATGTGTTCGGGCTTCTAGTCTCAAGCGAAAGCCCTAAGGCCCGCCCGCCATTGCTGTAAGTGTCACAAGCTTTTTAGACGAATGTGCGCGGCCCTAGGGCGAGATCACCAAGTTGGAACGGAGCCGCCCTCCATCGCTGAAACTCGCGCGAACTTTTGCGACTGATGTGCGCGGCGCCAGAGCGAGAGCCCCTATTTTGAGAACACCCCCCCTCCATCCTTGAAGCTGTTGCAAGTTTCAGAAAATGTGCGCCGCTTTGAAGGCGACATCCCACATTCGGAAAGAAACCGCCCTACTTCCTCACGGCTGTTGTGAGGCGAACCTGCGCGGCGCTAACGCAACAGCTCCATTTTGAAAAAAGGCCCGCCCTCCATCCTTGAAACTGCACGCTTTGAAGACGAATGTGGGCGGCGCTGGGGCGAGAGCTCCATTTAACAGCTCGCCTTGCACCGTTGAGATTGCTACAGTTCTCAAGCTTCAGGATCATATATGGTGAAGAAATCTCAGGCGATTTCCCTGGGAGGCGCGACACTTAGGAGCTATTCATAAGGATAACGGATGGGAGAGGTGGCGAAGGAGGGAGCTAGTAGGAAAAGAGCAGGAGGATGAGAATAAACAGGGGGTTGGGGAGGAGAGCGGGAAAAAAACAGCAGGGGAAGAGAGGAGGGAAGAAGGAGAAGGCGGAGGTCGTCACGGTCCTCCCCTCCCCACACCCCGCGCTCCCTCCTTCCATTCCTTCGCCACTCCATTTTCCCTCCCTTCACCTCTCGACTTTCCCTCCTCTCTCCACCCCCTCCCCCCCCCTCAATTCCCTCCATGTTTATGTGAGGCCTCTCCACCCCCAGCCCGCCCTCCTCCCGAGCCGGCAGGCGAAGGTGGGGAAGCTGCAGCTCACGGCTGGAGCCGCCTGCTGGCAGAGCAACAAGGACAGGGCTGGATCGGGGAGCCACATGTTGGGGGGGGGGGCGGTGCTGCAGCTCCTGAATCAAAGCTGGAGGAGGAGGAGGAGAAGGAGGAGTAGGAGGAGGGGAGGGACTTTGCAGAACCACCCAGAATTCCTTCATTCGGAACCCGAGAAAATCCCTCAACCATTCATCCGTTTTCTCTGTTCTCTCGTCGCTCCTCCCTGCTCATTCCTCCTCATCCTAGTTGTCATCCTGATCCTTGTTATCCTCCTCCTCCTCCCCCTCTTCCATGCATCCTTTTTGTCTTCTTTCGCGAGTAGTCCCATTCCTCCAAAAGAATTGTCATCGTGGATCGCATACAGGATGTATTTCATATGTGGTGATGCATACGTGCCCTTCCCCTCCCCTCCCTTCACTTCCCCTCCCTTCCCCCCCCCTTCCCTTCCCCTCCCCTCCCCCCATCGGGCGAAGAGAACCTACCCTGGCCAGGCCCCCCTGAGCACAGGATCGGCGCACGTGCGTCCTTGGCCAAGCCTGGAGGGACGTCTGCACCGGCCCTGGCCCCAGGATCGGCACAGCCGGGATCGGTGCATGTGCCCACTTCTTTGTTTTCTGTTTCCTTCCCCTCTTCTCGTTTCCCTCATGTTCCACTCCTCCCCCTCCTCCCCCTCCTCCTCCTCATACTCCTCCTCCTTCTCCTCCTCCTCCTCCTCTCCTCCTCCTGTTCCTTTTCCTGTTCCTCCTCCTCCTCCTTCTCCTCCTCTTCCTCCTCCTCTTCCTCCTCCTCCTCCTCCCCTTCCTCCTCCTCTCCTCCTCCTCCTCCTCCTCCTTCTCCTCCTCCTCCTCCTCCTCCTCCTCCTCCTCCTCCTCCTCCCCCTCCTCCTCATCCTCCTTTTTTACATTAAGCAAACCTTAGACCTTAGGTGGAAACCTGTGGCGTTATTTTCCTCCCCCTCCTCCTCATCATCATCATCCTTATCCTCCTTCTCCCTCCTCCGTAGCCGCTCTGGCGGGGCTCCGCGCCTCCGCGCCTGCAAGGAAGCTGCTAGTCCACAGCAAGTTCTCAGTTGCTTCCAGGAACCTGATCACCACAGGTCTCCTACTTCCCGCCCTTCTTCTCTCGCGGCGCGCGCAGCCATGGGAAAGGGTGGTAGACAGCAATATAAGGCTTCATGGCAGCAGTGGGCCCTTCGGCGATTAATGGGTACCTCAGGCTCGAACTCGTGTCTTGGTCACGCTTGGCCCGCTCTGGGAGGTGCACCACGGACGTTCGCCACAACGGAAGCGGGCTATCAATATTTCGAGCCAGAACATCACCATGCCCAAGCCTGGCAGGGACGCCACGTGGTGCAAAGTGTGCGGCAAGTTCTGCTACAACGACCAGCTCGAGAAGCTCGACTTCACGTGCCAGTAGTGCGGCAACTTCCTCCAGGGACGCCCCTGTGGACAGAGACCTGTACATGGTGACGGTGATCAGCGCGGACAGCTGTCCGTTGATGTCGAAGCTTCATCATCGCGAAGAGCGGTGCAGCAGCAGAGCAGGCTCGCATGTTACAGTCTACCTTGGCACAGGCACCAGCGGCTCCTCCCAAGCATCCGTCCATCAGGCTTGCCGAGGCCTCTCAGAGAGATGAACGAGCTGAAGCGACTATGGACAAGGTGGCAAAGCGCGTCCTTCGATGGGAAAAAAAGGAGCTGGGCTCGGCCATGGACCAGTACAAGGAGCACGCGGCTAGCTTAGCCGAGGCCATCGTTTCTCAGGAAATTGTTGCCAAGGGGCTTGCCCCAGAACCTGTTCGGCGGCCTGATCTGGGGAAGTTGGACGTCCGTGAGTTCTTGGACAAGAAAGCAGAACTCAAGCTCAGTGTTGGCGGTCCTCTTCGAAGACGTGGAGTTGGAGGAGCAGGGTCGCATCGGGCTTGAGCGGCGCAAGACATCCTTCGAGAAAGAGTTCAGGGCGGATCTATATTCACAGTTCAACCAAATGGTTGCAACGTTGGCTGGGCAGCAGCAGGAAAAAGAAAAAACAGTGGAGGACTTGGGTACCTGGCAGGCTACCCAGAGGCGCAAGGGCAGTCTCTCGCCAGTGCCAGGAGCCCCACAAACTGGTGCTGGAGGAGCTGACGCGGGAGTTGCAGATCCCACCGCAGCGGCAGCGTCGACAGGGTCTACGGCAGCATCTACGGCACCTCAGGCTACTACAGGGACAGCTACAGGATCGACGCCTCCGTCACCGCGGCAAGGAGTCGATCAAGTGGCGACGGACAAGCAGAAGGAGCTCAAGGCCATCCTGGAACAGACCCTTACAGCCAAGAGGACTCCGTCGCCGAGCGTTTGATACAAGCCCACCCTCGGCCGAACTCCTGCCCCCGTCCAGCCATGGACAGGTCGCAGCGCAGAGGGGGGCCAGCGAAGAGGGGTCGTCGGGCAGATCCACTACGGGCACGGCGGATTTCTCGACTGCGCGCGGGCGATTCCAGGGGGGCGGCGCCTTCTGAGACCCCTGGCAACTTCATAAAGGGCGCGCGCGGATCCCAGGGGGGGGGGGGCACATGAGGCCCCTGGCTCTCTTGAACCCCAGGGGGTGGCCCCTCTTAGGGCACCTGGCAAGGACCTGGATCACTCGCACCACTTCGACCCAGAGGTATTCCAGGGGGTGGCTCCTCTTGAGACCCCTGGCTCTCTGGCACACCAGGGGGCGGCCCCTCTTGGGGCCCCTGGCAAGGACTGGGAGGCGGAGCTCAACTTCGACACAGATGCTATCCAGGGGGTGGCCCCTTTGGGGCCCCCGGCATGGGCAACATAGATGCGGCCCACGGCTTCGCAGAGGATACCCAGGGCGAGGCTGGCTACGTCTACTTCCCAAGGGACGGCCTCTATTGAGACCCTTGGGGGGGGGGGGGGGAAGGGGGAGTTGAGTGGACATGTCTTGGGTGTTGATAGGCCTACGCTGGGCGGATATTTCATACTCGGTGACAGGATTGCGTTCTTCTGGGGGGCGTGAGATTTCTGTCTCGGGCTGGACGGTATCTTGGAAGCTCGTATCTTCTGAAGCGACAAGTGCAGATCCAGGTCCGCCCTGGCCCACTCGTCGCGGCAGCCGGCCTGCCACCATTGCACCCAGTCCACAGGGGGATTGGGAGGAAAGTTGAGTGGGACAAGCGGCCAGCCGCTTTGCATGGCGCAGAGCTCCGCATTCGACGCGGCTGGGCAGGTAGCCATCACATGTTCCGCTTCCCAGGGCCGACAATTCAGCACGGGAACGACGACTTCTAAGAGATGAGATGACAGCTTCAGCAGCAAGATGGATTCGCAAGATCCGAGGTGGGAGATTCAACAGCTTAGAGCATTGGCGAGAATGGCGCGCCCCGTATTCCATTGGGCCCCTATCACACCGCTCAAGGAGGGCTACGCGCATCAAGTTGGAAAGTTTCTATGACCGTCCATTGGCGGAGATCGCTGGGATTATGCGCACTGAAGTTTAGAGCCGCGCCGAACCTCATCGGACATTCTTCTTCGCGACTCTCAATGGCATGAGGGACAGGGAACAATACCGCAGATTTGCCAGATGGCACGTTCAAGACCTTCGCGAGCTACGTCGCCGCTTCAGGCTTGCGCTTGGAGAGCACCACCTGATCGGGCTCTCCCAGACGGCGATGAGGATAGCGAAGTGGGAGATCTAGTTCAGGACAGGGCGAGCTTGGCGTGGAGTTCGGTCTCGCACACCCTGGGACAAACTATGTTCTCCTGACTTGGGCCAAAAATCGGCAACTGGGACAGGGAAGCAGGCAGTTAAGGCAGAAGGATCACCCCAAGAGGACGGCGGCTTGAAGTTCCGTATCTACATGCGGAACATGTCGGCCTGGTGACCTTCGGTGACGCTGCTTCTCAAACGACCATACGATGCGGTCATCATCCAGAAAACTCACGTGGACATGTCAGAGACGAATGATGCGCTGTTGAATTTTGATAACGCGGGCTACAAGAGCATGGCATGCCCTGTTGGTGCTGAATCGGCACATGTCACTTCGAAGTCAGGTGGAGTGGCAATGGGAGTTTCCAAGAAATGGACGTCTTGGCCACTTCGGCATTTGGCCTCGAACATGGAGGACTTACCAGGCAAAAGAGCCGACAAGCACAAGGAGGACCAGAACATGACCACGGGCGTTCGGTTTAAAGACTTGGTGGGGATGCAGGTTCTCTTGAAGGGTGCCCACATCACGATCCTGGGCGGCTACCTCTACAAAGGAATGGGGATTGCAGGACCCACTGTGGAGAAGCTACGTCATATGGCATCGTTGGTGTCATCGTGACCCACATCATGGGCCATCTTGTGCGACTGTAACTCCCCTCCTGAAGCCCTTCGGAAAGCAGGGTGGCTCAATCTGGTGCAGGGGGATATCTTGGTTGCCGGCGATGTGGATTACAAGTGCACTGGTGGGCACGGTACACTTATCGACTACGTCGTGGCTTCAGGGCCCGCTCTCGAGCACCTTGATCGGGCACACGCGGACGCAGGTTTGGTTGGAGAAGGTGGCAAGGCACATTATGGCATAGCGTTGGATCATTGTCTGTAGGCGAAGGAAGCAGAAGGACGTACTCCGGGACTTCCCAATGCCTTCGGGCCACCAAATCAGCCGAAGAAAAAGGCCGACCCGAACAGTAAGCGCTCACGGAAGTTGGCGGTGGTGGCTACCCCGGCGGCCTCGAGGCCCAAAATTCCAGCGTTGGGAACTCGCGGGAGACTGGGGGTCAAGGCCCCACCGCCTTTCAACTACCTGGGACCTATGAACCTGGGGGAGGAGTCGGAGCGCGACGATGAGGAGGTGTAAGACGAAGAGGACCCACTGCCTGAGGACGAGCCTGGAGCAGACCTAGATCCACCAGCTGCTGATGAAGGGCTGGGCGAGAAGTGGTCCCTGCGCAACAGGGAGGAGGCGCGGGACTCGGTCGTCATCACCAATGACAAGAGATGGTCCACACCTCCAGGCTACGCGCGGGATTCGCTCGCTTGGCATCTCACGGCTGACAGCGCCTCTTCTCTGGGACATGAATTTGGCAAGTGGGTCAGCAAGGTGGAGGATTATTTCAGTATATCATTAGATGGTGAAGGCATGGACAAGGACGGCAAAGCACAGCGTGGTAGAGGCATTGCCAGTTCGGTCAGGCTCAACAAAGTTGCGCCTTCTCCTCCTTTCACTCGGACACGGGATCCTGGGGTGGATTGGCGGGCTAAGATTGCCTCCTTGCTTGAGGACCTCGACAGGGCCACCTCGGACTGAGGGGCGCGACGGCCTGCGCTCCCACTTCCACCCTTGCCTCTCCACCGAGGAAGGAGAAGCAGTCTGGGTGCGGGAAGCTTCGCGCGTTGAATTCTGCTGCGAATGACACCATCCGCAGGTACAAGGAGGACGGCAGCAAGATTGCCAGCAGCCTGCAAAGGACGGGGTGTTATTCGCCGTATTTGGCGTTCTCCCAATGGGCGAAGGAGCCGCACATAGCGGCGCCTGGCAAGCTGTTTCGATTTATCATAGACAAGCCGTCAGCGAAGGACGAGTTCGAGGACGGGCCGATGGTCCCCCCTGGCCCGCCCACGGCGATGGATATCAGAGCGACGCCTTGGCGCAAGAAGTGGAGTGATTCTTCATTGAATATTGGGGCGGTATCGCATCTCTTGAGCACAGCGCGCGAACGTTTCAAGGAAGCTCCGTTCCCCACCTTCGACTTGGAAACGCTGGAGGAGGGCACCAGGAGGATGAAGGGCACCTCGGCCAAGGGCATCGAGCAGCTGGGTACGAAAGATTTGGCTTGGCGCCCAGAACAGGGCGAGTTCGAATTGGTGCAACTATCTCAACAGATCGAGAAGGAGGTCGCTTGGCCTTGGCAGCTTACAGCGTTTTGGGCGACACTCACGCGGGAACCCTCAGACGACGACAGGTCTATCGGGGCACTGTCCAACCTATCGAGGCTGTGGTCTAGTTGCCGAGGTGGGTACCGTGCCAGCTGGGCCCGGGACAGGGCTGGCCATTGGGATGCAGCTTCCGCAGGATCGTCTGCCTTACGCGAGGCCCTGTTGCGCAGTTACTTGGACGGGACGGTTGTCCTTTCCACGATTCACAGCTGGGCGCGGGCGAGTATTCTGTGGGATACCGAAGGCTTCTATGACGCTCTTAAGTGGAAGCTATTGCTCGGATCAGGATTGGAACATGAGTTGCTCCCTGGCACACTGGCCCTGGAGATGCCCCTGCACATGGGAGTCCGTCTCTTGCGATACAGTGGGTATTACTCCGACGCCATCATTCCTGAGCAGAGCATGGTTGCGCGCTTGGGAGGTGCAGTTGGTGTTTCCAGGTCTGCGCTGTTAAACATTATTGGCAGAGTGGCCCGAGGTACGTCAGGGGTTACTACACGATC